TCACTATGTAGACCAGGCTGTCCTTGAACTCACAGAAATCTGTCTGCCTCTGCCTCCCCAGTGCTGGGATTAAAGGCGTGCACCATCAGGCCCAGCGGGAATATAGATTTTTTTTTTAATTTTATTATTTTTATTTTATGTGTATGCATGTATTGCCTGCATGTAGGTAAATGCACCTGGGTCATGCAATGCCTGCAGAGGTCAGAAGAGGCTGCTGGATTCCCTGGGACTGGAGTTATGGACAGTCGCTAGCTGCCATGTTGGTCCTGGGATTCGAACGCAGGTCTTCTGGAAGAGCAACCAGTGTTCTTAACCGCTGAGCCTACTCTCCAGCCCTGGGAATATAGATTTTTAAAATATGTTTTATGAATCTCTGAATTTCCTCAATATCTGTTGTAATATTTTCCTTTTCATTTCTGACTTTATTAATTTGGGTTCCTTCTTTTGGCTAATTTTGCTAAAGGCTTGTCAATTTTGTTAATCTTTTCTTTTTGGTCTCTTTTGAGACAGGGTCTCCTTGTAGCCCCAGGCTGGCCTTAAATTCACAAAGATCTGCCTGCCTCTGCTTCTGGAGTGCTGGGACTAAAGGCATTTGCCACCACACCTGGCTTTGTTAATCTTTTCAAAGAACCAGCTCTTCATTTCATGGATTTTTATATTGGTTTTCTTTTTTTTTTAATTTCTATTTCTTTAATTTCAGCCCTGATTCTGATGATATCTTCCCATATACTCTTATTGGGTGTTGTTTGTTCTTGTTTTTCCAAGATCTTCAGGTGCATCATTAAGCCATTAATGTAACAGGCCCCTAATTTTCTGGTGTGGACACTTGGTGCTATAAAATTTTCTCTTAGGACTGCTTTCATTGTGTTCTATAGGTTTTGCTGTGTTGTATTTCCATTTTCATTCAATTCTAGGAGTTTTTCAACTTCCTTTTTCATTTCCCCCTTGACCCAATTCTCATTTAATAGTGTGTTGCTTAGTTTCCATGAGTTTATGTACTTTCTACAGTTTCTGTGCTGATGCTATTCAGCTTTATTCCTTTGTGGTCAGATAGAATGTGGGTGTTACTTTCATTTTCCTATATTTGTTGAGACCTACTTTGTGTCTTAATATGTAGTCCATTTGGGGGAAGTTTCATGGACTGCTGAAGAAAGTGTATTTCAGTGTTTTGCTGAAATGGTAAATAGATGTGTTAGATCCATTTGATTTATGATGTCATTTAATTCAAGAGCTTTTTATTTATTTTTTGTCTGGATGACCTGTGTACTGGAGACATCAGGGTATTGAAGTTACTTATTATCATTGTGTTAGGGTTTTTAGGTCTAATAGTGTTTCTTTTATGTAGTTGAGTGCCCCTGTATCTGGTGCATGATTATTTTAAAATGTTATATCCTCTTGGTCAATTTTCCCTTTAATGAGTGTACTTCCTTATCTCTTTTAACTAGATTTGTTGAAACTATTTTGTCAGATATGAGAATAGCTACACCTGCTTTTTATTTGATTCCTTTTACCCTGAACTGGTAGCTGTCTTTGATGGTTCTGTGTGTTTCTCAGAAGCAGCCAAAAAGATGGACCTTGTTTTCTAATCCATTCTGCTAGTCTATATCTTTGTATTGGGCAATTGAGATCATTAATAGAGAGAGTTACTATTGAATAATGTTTATTAGTTCCTGTTATTTTGTTGCAATGGTGTTGCTTTCTTAGACCTTTTACCTTGTAGTGGTAGTGTTTTCTTAGGCCTCTTTTGGTTAACTGTTCTGGGATTGTTTATTTGCTCCTTATGGTCTCTTGGGTGTGCTGATATTCTCTTTAGACCAAAATATTCACTGTAGTATCCTCTATAGATCTTGTTTAATGGACATAAATTTCTTAAATATTTTCATACTGGAAAGTTCTTCTTTCCCCTTTGATTACCATTGATAATTTTGCTGGCTATAGTAATCTGGGCTGAATCTATGTTCTGTCATGGCTTGTAAGACATAGGTCCAAGCCCTTCTGGCTTTCATACTCTCCGTAACAAAATCAGCTGTTATTTTATTCTGATGGGCCTGTGACTTGATCCTTCCCTCTATCAGCTTTCAATATTTTTATTTTCTGTACAAGGTTTTGACTGTTATGTGATGTGAGGAGTTTCTTTTCTGGTTCTAACTGGTGTTCTGTATGGCTCTTGCACTCAACTTATACTTTAGAAATTTTCTTCTATTATTTTGTTGAAAATATTTTCTGTGCCTTTGCCTTGGTTTTCTTCTCTTTTATGCATATGATTCATAGGTTTGGACTTTTTATAGTGTCCCTGAGGTCCTACAGGTTTCCTTCCTGGGTTATTTATTTATTTATTTGTTTGTTTGTTTGTTTGTTTATTTTGAGACTGGGTCTCACTATGTTGCCCTGGCTGGCCTGAAACTTACCATGTAGACCAGGCTGGCCTTAAACTCAGTATGTAAACCAAGCTCAAACTCACAGAGGACCCTCTCCCCCACTATCTCTGCCTCCCAATTCCTGGAATTAAAGAACAGTACAAACCACCATACCCAGCTGTGGGGGTATTTTAGATTTAACATTTTCTTTGACTGAATCATTCATTTTTTTTCTACTTTTCTTTGAGGCTTGATATTCTCTCTTTTACTTAATCTAGATGAGGCTTTCCTTTAAGCTTTTTGTTTGACTTCCTGTGTTTTTCATTTCTAGAATTGATTTGCTTATTTCATTCAAATGTGTGTCTCTGTGGCCTTCATTCTTTTATTCAAATCCTCTTTGAGTTTCTTGAACATATTTATGTTTGCTATTTTGAAATCATTGTCTTGTGCACCAGTTAATTTCTAAGAGGACACATATTATCTTGGTTATTTATGTTGCTTATAAAATAGCTACAGAAATAAGTGTGGGAAATGTATGGGTTTAATGAAATATCCACAAGGAGAATTATAAATTGTATATATACACTATATTATATATAATATAATTTGTTATATTCTTTACTAGAAAATTGAACCATTGAGACAATTGAGAAGTTCTTTCTTTTGGAAAAAAGATTTTAAGGGTTTTGTTTGGCATGTTAATATTTTTCATTTATCACTATTAAATTAATAAATTAGTTCATCACTAAAAGCTAACTGATGGGAAAAAGTTAACAGGGTACTGTCAAACTAAAGGCAGCAGAAATAATCATAGAGAAGTAAATCTTTTCAAATCATTGTAGAAATACTTTATCAAGTATGAAATTGATTATAATCATGATGATTTATCAATAAGCTCTATTTGAGTTTCAAGCCTGCTGGGACTATCTGGCCAAATAAGTCTTACTATGTAAGAGCTCTTACTCAAAAAGATGCCCTTACAATGTTTTAAAAATAATTCTCTAATGCCAGTCATGTGGTGGCACATGACTTTAATCCCAGCATTCAGGAAGCAGAGGCAGGCAGATCTCTGTGAGTTCAAGGCTGCGAGTTACAGGCCAGCTAGGTCTATAGGCATGCCTTGTCCCCAAAAGACCAAAATAATAATAATAATAATAATAATAATAATAATAATTCTCTTGTTGGCCTTTGTAAGTTTATCTAAATATAACCCTTTCTCTTTCAGGCTTTGAAGCATTTGAAGGGAGTTTGTTTGAGACTGTCTTTCGGTCCCTGTATCCTGGAGGCATGTTCGGCTGCTGTTTTCTCCCACTTCATTATGCACTTTCCTTGGCAATGGGGATTCCTATTAGGGTAATTTTTTTGTCTTTGCCATAAAAGTGTACAGTTAAGTATGTTTGGTTAAAACTGTTGAAATACTCCTTCATTAAAATCCATTTCACAGGGGTGGGTAAGACTCCTAGAAAATCAGTTGATCAAAAATGGAGTCATGTTCCAAATCTACCAAATACACCTGAACATGGTGGCACCTGCCTGTAAATTCCACACTTCGGAGACTAATGCAGAATTATTCTTAGTTAAGGACAGTCTGAGCTACATAGCAAAATCCTATCTCAAAAGAAAATCTACCGTACGTTTCAGTCATAGTTCATAAATGTGAAAAGCCAAGATAATCTACTTTCTCAGTTTATCCCATCTTCTGTCTTATATCTGTATATTTTTCTTTCTTTTTTTGAATTATAGTTGCTGATTTTATTTAATTCAGGTTTTATTAAAGCTGTTTCTTAATATTACACTTCATCCTTAATTTTCCCTATTTGATTTTGCTTTAAGAGCCTTTTCATTTATCAAACTTTTTGTCATGAATGACAGCACAAATCAACTTACATCAGCATCAAACTGACTGGCTCCTGCATGGCAGCAAGGAAAGTCAGTAAAAGACTTCCAGAATCCAAGTGCTACAACATTAAATCCACCTCTTCTTTACAGCCAAGGTCTTTTCACTTTACCACCAAAATGAAAATAATTAAAGGCATGGACACAATTTTCTTCTTCTCTCAGTCTAAACGTGTAGATTTCCTGTGACAAAGTCAATCAGACAAAAACAAAGAACAGGAAGGAAAAGTATTAGGAATGATTAGCTTAGTAGTCTTTTTTTTTTTTTTTTTTTTTTTTTTGGGTTTTTTGAGACAGGTTCTCCCTGTAGCCCCAGCTGGCCTGGAACTCACTATGTAGACCAGGCTGGCCTTGAACTCATAGAGATCCACCTGCCTCTGCCTCCCAAGTGCTGGGATTAAAGGGGGGTGAAAGGTTTTTTTTTTTTTTTTTTTTTAAGCTACAACAATCACGTAACCAGTCTTCCTTCTTCCCTAGACTTTAGGCAACTCTAAAAAGGAAAAATGATGGGATAATTTAAGCAATATAAATAAATATGGAGGGCCTACTGTAGTAGGCAGTTTTCACGTTTCATGTAATCCTCACATCATAAGAGAATTATAACCATTTACAGTCAAACTCAGCAGAGTGGCGCCCAGAGTCACACAGGTGAGAGCCAGACTCGAAGCCCATGCCTATCAAGCCTTGCTCTGCTCAGGTGCTCTGCCTCCCCTGGCCGTTGGTTTTTTTTTGTACCTTAGCTTCAGCTTCTAATTTAAACTTACGGCTCAAGTTTGCAGAACTACTGAATAATAAATGAACTTAAAATTATTCTCAATCTATCTGCAAAAGCAGGTAGAAAGAATACTAGAAAACTCTTCGGACAACAGAACAGAACATTCCATACCTAATTCCATTCCCGTTCACTAGCAGTAACAGCTAGTAACCCCAAAATACAGTTTGTTCATGTTATTGCTTCTGTCTGTCAACTCAGAAGTGAAGGCAAAAAGGGAAACTCCAGTTCACAATATGCATTTTTTAAAATATTTTTATTTTTATTTTATGTGTATGAGTGTATTGCCTGCATGTATGTGAGTGCACCCGCATCGTGCAATGCTGCGGAGGTCAGAAGAGGGCTTCAGATTCCCCTGGAACTGGAGTTAAGGACAGTTCGTAGCCACCATGTGGGTGCTGGGAATCGAACCCGGGTCCTCTGCAGGAGCAGTCGGTGCTCTTAACCGCTGAGCCATCTCTTCAGCTCCACAATATTAATTTTGTGGACTGCCAAAATAATATTTTGAGACAAGGTCTTATTACACACTAGAGTATGGCTTCCCCAGCACTCGGATCATAGGTGTGTGCCACCTTGCCTGGTCAAGAGAATCTTTTGATTGCACTTTTAAAATGCTGTTTACTGGGGCTGTAGAGATGGCTCAGCAGTTAAGAACACTGCCTGTTCTTGCAGATGACCCAGGTTCGAAACCCAGCATCCACGTCGCAGCTAATAACTGTCTGTAACTCCAGTTCCAGGGGATCCAACAGCCTCTTCTGTCCTCTGCGGACATTGCACAACACAGGTGCACTGAGCTACATGCAGGTGATACACACATACACATAAAATAAAAATAATAAATAAAATATTTTTTAAAATGCTGTTTACTTGTCAGACCCTCTACCCCCAATTCGCTTTATACCACCTCCAAGTCCTACTTGTTTTTTAATTTTTAGATTTTACTTCTATGTAGGTGCATGTGTGCAGTGCCCAGGGAGGCCAGAAGAGGACATTGGATCCCTTGGAACTGTAGTTACAGATGGTTGTTAGGCACCCTGTGGGTGCTGAGAACTGAACCCAGGTCTTCTTCAAGAGCAGGTAGTGCTCTTAACCACTGAGCCATCTCTCCAGCCTCTATTTGTTCTTTTAGGTGTTTAAATCTAATGGAGACAGAAGAATGATTTTATTGATTCATGTCAGTGCCATACTTCTAAGGGCAACTTACCACTCCAATATTACTAGAGGTCTGAGACTAGCATCTGCCACCTCAAAACACCCTTCTATGCCAGGCGTGGTGGCACACACGTTTAGTCCCAGCACTCGGGAGGCAGAGGCAGATGGATCTCTGTGAGTTTGAGGCCAGCCTGGTCTACATAGTGAGTTCCAGGACAGCTGGGGCTACAGGGAGACCCTGTCTCAAAAAGACCAAAAAACCCACCCTTCTTTGGTATAATATTGAGCTGGCTATTTTGAGAAACTGTAGACATAGGTGTACTGAGAGGCTGTCTGAAAAAAAAACAAAAAACAAAAAAACCGCACAAGCAGAAAGGAAATCTACATTAGCAAAGGTGTATGTAGCAGAAAAAGGACTGAAGGACTGCAGCTTCTATTACCTGACTTTTTATCTGCATAACAAGACCACCTTTATTCACCATTTCTCTCCAGCTTCCCAACTTCTGGAAGCTATAAGCCCTTGTTCTGTAGCTGAGGGTGTGGGGATCAATTTACTGACACCTTGAGGCTCACATTTTGCAGGACTCTCATATTTATGTATACAATGAAATAAGGTTTTTCTGTTAATCCAGTTTGTGTCAGTTTAATTTGTAGTCCAGTCAAAGACCCTAAAGGGGTTGAGTCTAGTCCTTTTAAAAAGGACTAGATTTTTAAACTTCAGAAGCAGCAGAAAAGGTGAAGTTAAAGAACTCTTTGAATACTAAAATAGCTCTAACTGACCTCCTTTATAAAGTTTACTTCATGTATTATTCACTTATTAAGCTATTTATTGGACACATCGTTTATACAGCATCAGCTATTGAGTCTGAAGAAAAGTATAGAGGCTCATAAAGTTCACAAAGTTAATACACAAAAGAGGAGCTAGGTGTTCATATAAATATGGCTTACGATGGACAAAACAACTAAAAATTAAAGCTTGTTAGGGCTGAGGGTATAGCCCAGTGGTAGCATGCTTGCCTAGCTTGCATGAAACCCTGTGTTCAGTCCCTAGCACTGGAAAAAGGAAACTTGTTTGTTGATGTGAAAGGTAGTGATTTGTCAGTACCACAGCGTTACTGAATGGGAAATGCTGTCTATGGCAGTAGTCACCGAATGCCCCCCAGCACATCTAAGTGACAAGTGATCTAGCATTTTCATCCTGTCACAATGTAGGATCCCACAGCAAATCTGACAAAGGGCAGAGGAGTCAGGGCTGATGGAATGAACAGTTGTAGATACACAGATTTGTTTGGACCATTTGCTGTTGGTGCTCTCTCATTTTGCCTGAAGTTACTACAGACCTAACAGGCTACAAATAACTTGTTTGAAAAGGAAGACTGTCTTCCAAGTCTTGCCTGACCCTTTAGTCCTTCCAAATGGGACTGGAAAGGGGTGGCTAGAGAACAGTGTGAACATGGCTCTGGCAGGGACTGCAAGCATAAAAGGAGGCTAAATGAGAGCAATTCATGAAGAGGCTGTGAAAATCTATCTGTATAAATCAACCCAAATGATCTAAATTTACACAAGGGTAAAGCTTTCCATTCAAATGTCAAATCAATTCCTACTGTATCCTTTTCCCATAAAATTCAAGACACTACTATACAAGAACCTGTATTCATTCCAGCAATTCCATGAAAATATAGTTAAGAGGATTTTGGATTTAAAGTCATCAGGCATTGGTTGTCCAGAAACCCAATGGCAAGACTTCTGATGAGGCTAAACAGGTCACACAAAACCAACAGAATATCTTAGAAATAAAGCCAATATGACTAAATCCAAAACAGATCACATGAAGTACCTCATGTACTATACAAACCTAGCTTAAAAATAAAGGAAATAGGTGCCCAGACTCCGGGAGAATATTTAGTTCCTGACACCTTGTTCATAACCTTCTCTGAGACTCCACTGCCACTTCCACCTGGGCAAGTCTAATGGTGCAGCCATGGAGTTTGTAGCCATCTTGTCGTACTAATACCACTGTGCCAGGCTGTACCCCCAACACCAGCTGGCACATGACAGATGAGTTCGTGTTCATGAAGGTCATATTTGTCACTGATGGGTGTCATCTTTTCGAGGCCATGTTTGGAAAACACGCTTTTCAGCGTTGCCCCTAGAAGAGAGAGCCGGTGGAAGACTTTCTCTAGAGTGAGCTCATGGTCTTCAGCTTCTGCTCCTTCTGAAAAGCACTCAGTCTTCTCCAAAACATCCACCACCTCCACCAAGTCCTTACAGAAACTCTGGAGTCTGTTAAATCCTGGACCTCCTTTTCCAGTTCAACAGCTTTTAGCCTTAATGCCCTTTCAGCAAGAGAGGGCCCCAGGTCATCAGGGGGTCCTCAGAGCTGCAGTCTTCCCAGCTGTTCTCTGTGTTCTCTGGGTGGCAGTGCTGAATGTTGCATCCAGCCCCGATGTGGCCAGGAGGTGCTGCAGCTGTCGGGCTGCCGCCAGTGACCATGCAGCCACCTCTATCTATATTTCATCATATTAAATGACCT